GCCCGGTTCGGCCCGCGGGCCGCCCCCGATGCGGAGGTTCTGCCGCCGGGGCCATGCAGCAGGCGCCGCAGCCGTACGACTTCTTCAGCGAAGAGAACAGCCCGAAATGGCGGGGACTGCTGGTCTCGGCCCTGCGGAAGGTCAGTTCTGGGGCGGGGGTGGCCGCCAGGGCCCTGGGAGGGGCCGGACGGCGGGCGGGGTGCCGGGCCCGGTCCCCCGAAGTTCTAACGGGGAGCAGCTTGTTCTCCCAGCACTTGGGTCCCGAGGCCAAACAGTGTCTCTCTGCCTGGCGACAGGGAACTCATAATTGCCTGTTGCATCCTGAAGGACGTTTTCTCAATTTTTTTTTCCTTTTTGGCTGGGTCCCGGAAGGAAGGTTTTGTTATGATCATAAAACTGGATTTCATGTTGCAGTCATTTCGTCAGACAACTTCCGCCGTTGACCAATTTGTTGTCCTCAGGCAGGATTCGGGCAAGAGAAAGTACCGCTGATATTTAGACAGTTTCTAAAACAAAAGCTCATTTTCAGGCGAGGGCCAGCCGGGTAATTACTTTTAATTGAATTCTTTGGGGGTGTTCCCCCCAGGCAATTTGCTTGTCAAGGTTGTCCACTCGCTTATAAGGCATTGCTTTTTCTTTCTTTTTTGTAATATGAATGTTTCACATGTGTGAAGTGTCAGTGAATCATAATACTCATTTTACAATTCTTGAGGTGAATCTAAAGCGCCTCCCCACTTCCAGCAAAAGACGTCTTGCCTTAATACAGATATTTTCCTTATCCAATTTGGTTAGTTTCTTTTCTGGGTACAATTTCGAATGTGGAATCACTTTAAGGGACAAAAAAGGGGACAGCTCATACAAATCGATCTTTCAAGTTTGGGCGTATTGTTAGGATGCTTCTCTCCTGTTCGTGGTGTCAGTCTTCCTCTGTGAACTTAGGTAATAATTATACTGTCATTTTCATAATAAATTATCTTGTGAGGTCAAGACAAATTCAAAGACTGTATATGGGTTCATGATTACTTATCAGGCTCACTAACATGGGCTTCCTTTACTGTTGATACAGACTTAGTTCCTTGTCTTTTATGTAAAATAACCAAGAATAAATTGTAAAAATAATAAAGAAAAAACAATTTTAAAAGATTGCACTTGGGGGCTGGGGATATAGCTCAGTTGATAGACTGCCTCCCATGCTCAGGATCCCAGCACCACGAGGAAAAAAAGAAAAAGAAAAAAGACTACACTTGAATGTAATTCTTTATACGTTAAATTCCTAGAAATGAAAGGCAGTAGTGCATTTAAAGGTAAAAACGTTTTCTTCATGCATTCAGAATTTCAGATTTTCTAATTTCATGATTCTTAAAAGTAGACATTTCTTCCCTTAGGGCAAACACCAAGTCTGGCTTTTTAAAACACTTGGTGGAATGACTGTCATTTCATTGGTGTGCTGGGTTCTAAAGTATTAAATTGACCTTCTTCCATGCGTAGCCCAATTCTGTAAGGAGAGAGAATGAATTTGGAAGTGTGCTGAATGATGATAATGAACTCTGGCCTGAATTAAAAGCAAAGGAGGAAATGCTTAGATAGTAATTAGCCCTTCTACCATGCAGAAGTGTGAGTGAAGTTACCAGGTAGGCCTATATTGTTGGCAGAATGAAGCAAGTATATGCTCATTAGTACTTTGTGGTAGCAAATAGTATTTAAGTGTAGGTAGCTTTGATTCTAATAATCCTCATGTACAAGTTCAGATTTATTTTTTTCAGGCTAGGTTAGAACAAAACCAGGACTAGCATCTAAGCCTAGTACATTGCCTTGGTCCTATTACTTAGCATTTAAATGTTGTGCTTGTTTTCTAGGTGCCTTGTAGATACTATATTGTTGTATTCAACAATTGTGGTATATCCTTTGCTTATAAAATTACTAAGAAAATTTGGCCTTTTGTGGTGAATTATAAAAACACTTTCTATTAATTTATTAAATCAGTGTTATAGAATTGAGATACATTCCCATGGAATCATTTTTTTTTAATATTTATTTTTTAGTTCTCGGCGGACACAACATCTTTTGTTGGTATGTGGTGCTGAGGATCGAACCCGGGTCGCACGCATGCCAGGCGAGCGCGCTACCGCTTGAGCCACATCCCCAGCCCCATGGAATCATTTTTTATATCTCTGGAAAATTTTTGGTGAAAGTGATTCAGATTATATCTATTTTTACAGTATTTGGAACATTGTGACATGCAGTTTCATAGTGCCTACTATGAGTTGCAGGAATTACAGCTCTTAAGGTACTCAAGATTCACTCTGCTAACCATGTCTTTGTATGATAAGAATTTCCACCATTTATGAAGAAGACTGTCTTCATATTCAAAGACTGTAGGTTGGGAATGTAACTCAGTGGTAGAATGCTTTCTAGCATGCCAAGACCCTGAGTTCTATCCCTAACACTGAGAAGAAAAAAAGAAAAGCATGTAGAACTTAACCACCTTCCTCCAGATGACCATAGAGTTACAGACTACTAGGATTTGACTATACTATTTCTCTCTTTCATTTGGCACTACCGTTGAACATTTGATATATTATAGCTCTATGCATTGTTTAATATTTATTGAACACATTTTAGGTACTTGGCACCGTGTTGGATATTAAGATTACAAAAATAAATTTTAAAAAGTAAAGGCCTTTACAAGCTAGACCAAAAGTTCTAAGAAGCATTTACCAACTAGACCAAAATTCTAAGTTCTGAGGTTTGGGTTTTTGTAAATGAGATACCAGTTCTGAGCTTAGATTTCTGTAATGAATATTCAGTAGCAAAGTAGTTTAATTGGCTCTGTCAGGTTAATGCATTTTAGACATCTTAGTGGAACCTCCAAAATTATTAAAATAGAATTTTCAGAAAGGTGAAAATTCTGTGCAAATGTAAAGAAACATGTGTCAGTGATGTCATTATTTAATGAGAACTCTAGTAAAATGTTAGATTCATGTAAATCTTTTAGTATTTATAGGTCAATTTATCTTATAAATAATAATAGAAAATAGTGAAAGTTTCAAGCATAACACTGCACTGAGAAATGCCTAGTATTATCTTTTGCTGGGTTTCAAGTTTTAGCTAATTTTTATGAAGACTCTGTTTGGCAAAATCATCATTTTCAACATTGAAAAAACAAGGGATGATAGCTTCTGCAGCACATACACTAAAATTGGAATGGTACAGAGAAGATTAGCATGGCCTTTGTGCAAGGGTGATAGCAAATTCATGAAGTGTTCTGTAAAAAAGAAAGAAAGAAAAAAAATGTAAGGGATTTAAAAAAATAATATGTAAGTATTTATTTTACTATGTAGAAACACAAAGGCTGAGGAATGGATTTGTGGAAAAATAATTGTAAAAATAGAAATGTGTTGTTCTTTAACTTAACTCAGGGTCTCCATGCACTTTACCACTGATCTGCACTTCCAGCTCTTTCTTTAACTTTAAAATCAAAACCTCAGCTAGGGCATTTAAAAACATACAGGGCTACAAAGCAGAGTTGAAATGACATTATTAATTGATAATATGTGGATTGTTAACATTATTGCTAAATTATGTATCTTTCCTAAAAGAGCCAAGATCATAAGTGCCTTCACCAATACTCCCCAAGAACATTGAAGCTATGGTATTCTGTGGGAGAAAAAAGAGCAGGGCTACATTTGTAAGTGTAGTTTATTACCTTTGATTTTGAAGTATCTTTTATTTTATGCATGTGCTGATTATATGCTGAGATAAATTAGCACTCTTCATATGGGAAATATGTCTTAAAATAACTTTACCACATTTTCAGTCTGATATTTCCATGGTAAATGACTTTTCTATAAGGTTTTCCTTATCAGGCTAGCCATGGAAAAGAAAAATGTCTATTTTCTTACCATCTGTAGTTATAAATGTCCAACAGAGCTAGAAAGAATTGGTTGAATTCCTGGGTCTAATTCAATTCCTGTTAAATATCGACCTCCCTACCCTGTGACAATTTTGCTCTCAGATAGCTGTCTAAAAGGCAAGTGATATAGAAAATGTGTGGGTTAATTAATAGCAGTCCATGGCAAGGAAAAAGTAGGTAAGAGCTCTGACTGAGAAATGCCTTTGTGAAATCTGAAAGATTCTAGTGTTTTCTGCCTTTCTACCAATGTCTGTTGGAAGTTTGTTTTAGAAGATTGTACATGATCTTTCCTGAGGCCCACAAGAAAAGTATAGGGTGACTTAAGAAAATAAAATTGGTGTCACTGATATATAATAGGTCACAGAAGTCTTTAAGAAGTACTGGGTTCTGGAGGATATATGGTACTGAGTGTATCCTGTATGCCAGGCACTATTATTCTTGATACTGAGGATTGTAGCAAGGGCCCTTCTGTCTTAAAACTTTCATTCTAAATGGCTGGGAGAGGGCTGGGAGAGACAGACAATAAAGTTGCAAGCAATTATAGGAAAGATAAGTAGGAATTAACAAAACAAAGGAGGAGGAGAAGAGATTTGAGGTAGAGGGAACTGTAGGAACCTGACTTTATTTAAATTAAGAACAAAGAGAATAAGAAGTAGCCTGTGTGGTAGACTATATGTAGATGAAGTTAAGGTCTTTACCTTAGACCAAGAAAGTTGTGTATGGTTATTTGTTAATTATGTAGCAAAGTAATTACATTAACTTGATCATAATTGCTCTTTGAAAAAAGATCACTCCAGGTTAAAGCCAGAAACTAAGAGATCCTATGATTTTTTTTTTTTTAAATGTGGGGCCTGTTCTGGATTTCCTAAAGCTACTGAATACAACAATAGAACTCAAGAGAATCATTTGGAATTATTCTAAACTAACAATAGCTCAAACTAATGCAAAGGGTTCAGCCAGAACTGGATGAGCATTAGAAATGCATTTTAACTTGGTGCATTTAGCTCCCTGTCAACCATGATTTAGTAGCCTTTTCTATTTTCAGTTTAATTTTGGTATGGTATATTTGGAGTAATAATATTCCATTAAAGTGTTTTATGCTGAGTATCCACAGCATTACCTGTGTTACCACTTGACATAAATCAAGTATGTGTCTTTTATATTAACCATAGCTTCTCTTTAAAAGGAACAGTAATTTGATTATATCCTCTGTTAGCCTTTATATTG